TTGGAGGATCTTCAAGATCTTTTGGTCAACTCTACGTTGACTTTGGCTTCTCCAACCAACTTGGCTTGACCCAACCTTGACCTTGGAGGATCTTCAAGATCTTTTGGTCAACTCTACGTTGACTTTGGCTTCTCCAACCAACTTGGCTTGACCCAACCTTGACCTTGGAGGATCTTCAAGATCTTTTGGTCAACTCTACGTTGACTTTGGCTTCTCCAACCAACTTGGCTTGACCCAACCTTGACCTTGGAGGATCTTCAAGATCTTTTGGTCAACTCTACGTTGACTTTGGCTTCTCCAACCAACTTGGCTTGACCCAACCTTGACCTTGGAGGATCTTCAAGATCTTTTGGTCAACTCTACGTTGACTTTGGCTTCTCCAACCAACTTGGCTTGACCCAACCTTGACCTTGGAGGATCTTCATGGTCTTTCCGTCGAGTCCACGTTGACTTTTGGCCTCTCCAAGGTCTTTGGGTCAACCCAACCTTGACCTTTCTCATCTTCAACCAACTTGGCTTGACCCAACCTTGACCTTTCTCATCTTCAACCAACTTGGCTTGACCCAACCTTGACCTTTCTCATCTTCAACCAACTTGGCTTGACCCAACCTTGACCTTTCTCATCTTCAACCAACTTGGCTTGACCCAACCTTGACCTTTCTCATCTTCAACCAACTTGGCTTGACCCAACCTTGACCTTTCTCATCTTCAACCAACTTGGCTTGACCCAACCTTGACCTTTCTCATCTTCAACCAACTTGGCTTGACCCAACCTTGACCTTGGAGGATCTTCAAGATCTTTTGGTCGACTCTACGTTGACTTTTGGCCTCTCCAACCAACTTGACTTGACCCAACCTTGACCTTGGAGGATCTTCAAGACCCTTTGGTCAACTCTACGTTGACTTTTGGCTTCTCCAACCATCTTGCTACCCAACCTCAACCCTTGGAGCATCTCCAACCTCTTCTAACCCAACCCAACCTTGACCCAACCTCAACCTTCCCTTTTCCCTCAACCCTTGGAGACTCTCCCACCCCTTCACCGTCGATTCCTCGTTAACTTTTTCCTTCTTTTCCCTCTAGTTCCCACCACGGTCCACGCTCCGACCGTCGAGATCTTCCATTCCTGCGACTCCTCTTGGGTCCAACTCTACTGTTTAGCCTCTAATTTTGCCCCTGCCCCAGTTACCATCCAATGGGAAGCCAAAGAAAACGCCCAAAACTTTTTGGGGGACGTCGATCCCGTCGCTTCCGACACAGTTTCCGGTACTTTCCGCGCCGGATCGAGGCTCAACGTTTCCTTGGAGGATTGGATGGAGAAAACTTTCTCTTGTAAAGTTTCCCACGCGGCTTCCGGCACCGTCCAGGACGTCGTCGCGCACAAATGTTCCCGTAAGGACCTTGGGTGACGGTCTTGGGTTGGGTTTGGGGTCTTCAA